GCAACCATAACCTTTCCGTGCACAGAAGATTGTGATAGATCGAGTCGAGTCGCCATTTTGTCACCGAAACTGGCGGACCAAGCGTGCCCTCAAACAGTGACGAAATGCATGAAGTGAATAAATAAAGAGGGTGAAAGAAGCTAGAATATCAAGCGGAGGGGTTTTTTTTTTTTTTTTTTTGGGACGGGGGGAAAGGCGGGATGAACCACGCTTTAGAGAAGCAGAAAAAAGTTAAGAAAGGAAATAAAACGAAAGGTTATAACCGAGCGGACGTAGCGTTGAGGAAAATTTGAAGGAAGTGGGAGGGGGAGTCGTTATTATGAAGTCGGGTGATCGGAGCAATGATAGACAGCCCGGTCCCTTCGTCAGAAGAAAGAGGAATAGATGATCGAATTTAGAAAGCCCCCCGCGTCATCAGGGAAGGTGTCGAAGAATACTCTCCACCGCTGATGGCAAAATGAAGCAGGTTGGCGGTGATCCCGTCCTGGGTTGCTGGGGTCTAGGTTGTAACTAGGCGCAAGGAGTACTACTCCACGACACCTTGGTTCGAGACGATGTGGTCGGATATGACAGGCAGGGCCCAGGGGGAATAGCTACGCAGAAGAAGGACAAATGAATATGAATATCGAGAAACCTGCTCATGCAACGAAACATGAAGACCATACGGTATGGCTGGCAAAAGCAGGCGAGGCCTAGTTATACTAGTCCACGCCCCTTGCACACCAAAACCACACGAGCATCAGACCAAGTGGTGAGATGGGATGAAGCGTCTCGAAGTGCGCCGATCAATGCCAGCGAAATCCAGCAGCCCGATTTCCTTTCCTCGTCTATGTCGATCCACCCGGTGGTCGGGAGGGTTGCGAATGAAGATTGTCCCCTCTGTCTCGTTTTGGGGAGTGCTGGAGGACGATCACCACTTGTTGAGAAGGAATGTGCTCTCACTCCCAACATCAGTCAAGCTATGCCGAGGGCCGGCTTGGCTATTTTTATTGTCTTGTATACGAAGAGGACGTATATGAATAAATTATCAAGGAGCCTTCTGAGGGAGAAAACGGACCAGACCCTTGGCCGGTGGGCTTAGCAAGACTTGATCTTCTGGCCAAGAAGGCTTGGTCCACGCAGGGTCCTCCAAGAGACGTCGTGTCGAGGCCGAAATCGAGAGGCTTGAAGGCGACCCACAGGGGTCAGGAACACGGGGCTTGGTTGGGCAAGCAGAGTAGTTAACTAATGTGATGCAGGCTTAGGATGTCGATGATCTGGGCCAACGGTCTTGATAAAGGACATGGGGCCCAAAGCGGCAGCTGGAATGGAAGCCCACATGTAGAGTTTGACATGGCACCAGGATAACTGCCCAACATGTTCTTGCGGCGCGAACCTGGCAAACATGGTCACACGACGTCGCGAGGTTCTACATGTGCCATGCAACCATGATGGCCGATAAGTCGCGTCAGTTGCTGAAGAAGTCGACAGAGGAGCAAAACGAACAAAGCGTGCTCCATAATACTTCAAAACCCGCAATCACGCCAGGAAGCCACTTGATACGACGAGTATGCCACTGGCCCGCTTGAAAATGGCGATGGGCAGAAGAAAAACTTCCCATGACAATATACTCGGTACGGAGCAAAAGACGATGGATTGGAAGAGGCGGAGGGCAAGCGAGGGCCGTGGCCGCAGAGACTTTTGTCGTCATGGGCTGTCATAGGCCGCCATCAGCTGCCACGGGCCACTCGACGACCAGGGTATGCGCCAGTGGTGCTCTTTCCGTCCAACCGCGGCGCTCTGGGATTGGGGAAAGAGTAAAACATGAAACAAGTGCATCTGTTGGCTGCTGCATTGTACAATCAGACAAAGTACCAGCGATGGCCGTGCGCGGCATAGCAGTACAATGATGTCATGTACCCACGGCCCTGGCAGGGGCCCGCTTGAGATGTTTCATAATGACGCTCAAGTGCGCAAGTGCTCGTGGGGTTGTGAACTGGGCCTGGTCAGTGGTAATCCATCGTCCGCATTGTTCTCTCACAACATCTACCTACCTAGGTAGGCAGTATTCATTAATTAAGGCGCTCGGGCGCCATTTTGTTCATTATCTACCTGGCACCGACCGGTGAATAAACATAAAACATAGCATTTAGGAACAAAGTGCGCGTTACTCCCCTCGTTTCTTCCCATGTGATCAAAATTCCAGCTTTAGACTAACGGTGACTTCAACATACATAGAAAGGAGCTATACTAGCTGAATAGACCGCAGGACCCCAAAATGAGCAGCCACAGCTCAGTATGAAGCAAATCGTACATCATTCCAAGTCAAGATGGTTACTACGGGTATATTTGCCTCGGCAAGAAGCTGGAACGCTTGACAGGTGTTGAATGCGATTATGCGTAGCATTTCCTCCAGGGAGGAAATGCTCCTCGAGATAGACCTCGTGTTAAAGGGTGATGTTTCGACCTCTGGCTGAACACCCGTGCACCTCAGAAACAAGGGTTGATAAAATTGCAGCCGTGTTTCGAGCCTGGCTCAGATAAATGAGGTGTCATTGACAACAAGGGCAAGCAACTCTCGGCGGGCCATCTCAGCCAATGTAACCCTGCGCCAACGCCTTCAGATCGACCAACTTTTAATGAACTTCGGCAGCTCACTGGTTTCTTCTGCTCTCGCTTGATCAGAGAGAGGCCGTGATATTCCAGGCCAACATCTCCTGAAGTTAAGTCCTCTGATGCTGCCCATAGAGTACCAAACATGTTGCAGCTCTTTTTTAGTTGGACCTTGACGAGGCAAATGAAATTGGATTGAGAACTACCAGCAAAATCGCGAACAATTACAATGCAGCGCGTACATCTCTCTCCCAGGGTTATCAAGTTTCCAAGCTCGAGCTCCGAAAGCTAATGTGTTGAATTGGTAGAAAGCCGGTTCAATATGTCGGGCGCAAAAAGCAACGAGAAGCCGGTTCTCGGCGCCGGTGACTATTGGATGGGATTTTGTTTAGTACCACCTGAAGTCTATAACAGCGATGAACCCAGTATGTATCCACGTGGTACAACTGCAACTAGTCTACTCCACGACGAGGAATGCTCCGAAAAACTCGCATTGACACCGAGGGCTTTCCAGTGATGTAACCTAGTCCGATAACCTTAGAAGTCAGCTCTCTCATTTGTTCAATTCATGCAATTCATGCGCCGGTTATAGAGAGGTGCGTTTGACTCTGGCGTTGCATCATTTAGAGCATCGGCGGCCACCACCTATTGCATGCAACCTACTCGGTATGCAGCACTAGTCGACTTTGCAAAGCCTTTCGTACGTTGCTTGGAGGCATCCCTGAATTCTTGTTTACGCCATCGCTCATGACCAACACGGTGCATCTCATGTTGTAGACGCGATTTGTCTCAAAACCATGAACTTCGAAACTTGCAGAAACGGACAGAGTCATGAGAAAAGGCCCTATTGGTTAATAATGCTGATGACGGGGAAGCTTGCTCAGAAATTGCAACCATTTCATTCACATGGCAACATCTCAACCACCCCAATAGATCATGACATCCAATTACACGTCCTGGTCTGCATCACTGAATGCCTGCCATGTCAAAGGTAATCAGTCCACGTAAGTGTACCTGTCAACTGCCTGAACTACTAATTACGGAGCAGTTGTAGTATCCTCAACCTCTCAGAACTTGGCTATTAGACAGGGTACAAGAGTGCGAGGCGGCAATCCAGACTTGTGCACAAGAAGAAAGGCATTCCTAGGGGCATCCCAAGCTCCAATCTGACGGAAAGAGGAAGCACTAGTGGGTGCCATCAAGTATCACATAAAAGTGTGGCCTCCCTCGTGTGTAGTTGGATTTTCCCTTTTAGACATCCAAAGCCGTCCCAAAATATCTACCGCCATCACCTCACTTCAGTTGAGATGTCAAATGGCTGCACAGACAGCAGAGCAAGTCCTCACGGGGGCAACCTTTGGCCCCCAGCGCAGAAACGAATCCAAGTACACCCACGCAGCAGGGCCATCTCTCGCAGAGACCGTGTATATCGACCATGAGATACCGGACATTTGCCAATTGACGCCAAAACTGACTAAAATATAAAAGTCTACATCTGAGGTAAGGATCCCCTTCATCAGCGTCGGGGAAACGTGGCCAGCAGTCACAACAAGGCATGCATCATTGGTCTATCCCGCAGAGCCTCGTATCGTATAATGTCTGCTCGGTAGGCAAAACATGCTCCTCCGCCGACGTCTCCATCTTCTTGCAAAGAATTCTGGCAATGTGTGGACTAAAAGTACGAATGGCGAGGAATTGCCAGATCGGGTAATCAGAGGCGCCCGACATCGAATCGCAATGGAGCAACGATCGGAAATGTCTCACAATAAGAATTGTGCGGATCTCAGCCACCGCCGCCAGGTCTTACATACATCCATAGACACACCATGGACCACCACATCAAAGCACCAACAAGATCGCTGCAGTACGGCAACATTGCAACTTTGCCCTTGTCTCCATTAGACTCATGACTATCCGCATAGTGACATAAAATACATAATAAAGCCGACAGATATAAGCTATACGCTAATAATGGTCGTCAACGAATGCCATTAGAAAGAGATTGAAACGTCCCCTCGTCTTATCGCGTGACAACTTCTCGGAAAGAAAACGTGATGTCTCGTCCGGCTCTCGCGCAGAAAATAGAAGCAACAACCATATCGGGCATCTGTGTAGCCGAACCCAACCAAGCTCGTGTCTGCGGTGAGGCGCCCAAAAACAGCCAAAATATGAACCGGTTCGGCGATGGGATGTAGTAAAGAATATTGGCTCAGAAAGAGAAGAAGAAGACAGAAGACGAAAAAGAGTAGCAGATCGTAGGGTATAAACGCAAGTCAACTCCGAAATCAGTCCTGGACTCCAAACATATTAAGAAAGAAAAAAAAAGCCTCCGCAATACCATTCACAAAGGGATTTACACGTCAGTTTGCCGTGGTTTAAGACTCGTTCCAACCGCAGAAGCTGGCGCATTACACAGACTCGATTGCTGACACGGCTGGCGAAGCCGTAGGGATTGGACTTTGTCGCAAGGGTTCCAAGGTATGTGGCGGCTCTGCCAGTGAGTCCAGCTTCTGTCCACCAGGCAACCGCACGCTGCCTCGAGATCCACGGATGATCTGCCCTGTTTCAACGCGGTCCTGGATCATCTCTTCGAGCATTCTATTCATCTCATCGACGCTCTTGGTCCGCCTCCTTTGGAATTGGTTGTTCGTAGGGCTACCTGGCGTCGTCATCTTGACCTGATCCGCGACTGGGGTTGGTCGTGGGTCGGCCGAGGCGTCGGCAGTGTCCCGGGAGCGTGCAGCACTCCTCAGAGCGGCAAGCATACGGTCTTTATCATCAAGGCGAGCGCGGAGATCAGCAATCTCGGCATCCTTCTCCTTCAAGGCAGCAGCGACGCTGTGGTCTTCGCCAACCATGATGTTCTTACTTGGCGCGGAAAATCCAACAGACGTTCGCGATGAGCTCGCCCGTCTCGCTTGGAGAAGTCTCTTCTCCAAAGTGGCAATGTACCGGTTCTTATCAACTAGGTCTGCCTGAAGCGCCCGATTTTGGGCCGTCAGAGAAGCCGTGCCGTCTCCATACTCCCCAACGCTATCGTCCTCGGCATCAATGGCCTCTCGCTCACATTCGCCAGATATTCTTTGGCCGCCGCTAGAACGTCGCCCAATTGTGGATGACGCTGACGTCATTGACGCAGTGCGCTCCAACAGAGGTTTTGATCCAATGGAAGTGGCAACTGATGATCTGATCGACCCCGTTAGGGAGAGTTGAGAGAATCGTGCATACTGTCCAAGCGAGCTTAATGAGCCGTTGGAATTGACCCCGATCGACTTGGAGCTGAGGATCAGTCGGTTGAGATGATCAATTCGTTCCTTCAGCGCTGTTCTTGCAAGCTGCATCTCCAGCATTTGCTCCTCGTGTCTCTCGACAGCCTCCATTTCCCTGACCTTTTCTGCTTCCTCGTCTTTTTCCTTGTCCTTGTCCGCCTCGCTGTCATTGCTACCCCTTTTGCCCTTTTGTGAATCAAGCTGCTGCCGCAGCTCCATAATCTCCATGCGATACCGCTCCAATAGCACTCTTGCACCGCCGTCGCCTCCTGCACCAAGAGCCTCTTCCGCTCTTTTGGCGTGACTAACAATACTGTTCTTGGCCCGCGAGGCAAATTTCAGAGTATTGATGGTTTCGGTCGTGTGGGTGTTTGCGGCCGCGGTACTTCCGGCGGCTCCAATCTGGATGGTGCAAAGGATGCTCACTAACGAATTGCCGGACAAGGCTCCCTGGAGGAGGCGTGTCAGTTTGCTGTCACGGTAAGGCAAGTGTTTGCCTTCTTTGTCGCTGCCTTTGCTTTCCTTATCCTTCCACTCGGATAACTTTGATATGACGGTTCCCAGTGTGAGAAGACTCTTATTGATGTGGGCGCCTTCTTGTCTCCGCTCCTTGGACTCGGCTGCTTTTTCAGAACCAGCCAGATCAATCAAACTCAGAGTGGACACACGAACACCTCCAGGAAGAATAGCTGAGCGCTTGGCTTCGTTCCCGCCAGCAGCGGCACCTGGGATTCGTTCGCGGCTTTCAACGACAATCTGAACGACTGCGTGGCTCCGCGAACTGCGGGCATTGAATTGTGTGCTGGCAGTTCGTCTCGCCTGGTCACCACGCGCAATAACTCGGAGCAATTGTGTAGGGCTCTGGACGATTTCTTCCTTTAATGGCGTGGCATAGACGCCACGCTTGCTGTCTTCGCGTAGTTTAATCTCGTCCTGCTGTGGAGCTCCGCCAATACCACTGCCCGTCGGCATACTTAACAAGTCATGAATTCTCTCGTTGTAAATTTCAAGATAGCTGACACGTAGCAGAAATTCTCGGGATGGCGTTTCCCGGATGTATGAAAAGATGTCGGTAATTGCCAGGGGAATGACGCCTGGTGACGACGCTGTTCCTTGCATCGAAAAGGTCTTGCCCGTACCGGTCATACCGTAGGCAAAGACTGTTCCATGGTAGCCTTCCATGACTCTCCGGACGAGTCGCTTTGCAATATGGTCATACACACGCGCATTATTGTCATGCGTGGTAAAGACATTGTCTACTCATTTGTTAACAGGGTGCTGTTTGCGTGGTACCAAAATACGCTTCGAGGCGCATGCAACTTTGGTGCAAATGTACATACCATAAATATAATCACCGCCTTCTTTTCCTTTGTACGCAATAAGAGACTTGCGTCCATCTACCATCCACTCTCCTTCGGGGTTTGACTGGCCAAGGGCGTTGTCTGGACGGACTCTCACACTGACAACCACATTGCCTTTGCCGTCAGATTTGGATGATCGTTTGTCGGAAGCGGAGCCAACAATAGCAGCACCTGCATCGACTTTTGATGCCGACCCTTCCCCAGGTTCATCATAAGTCGTTGCAGAAGTCGAGTATGAGTCTTGTGCGGAAGAGCTTCGGCTTTGCGGCGGCGAGGAAATGCTCATCAACCCATCCGACATGCGAGCGTTGCTGATGGATCTGCCCTCTCTGCTACCATTCAACAAACTCGGGGTAGATGGAGAGTAGGTCAGATGAGACAGCTCCTTGGGCGTCTTCGATCTCCGGGATCGAGTCTTTTCGCTGGCCAGCGGATTAGGTGGCAAGCTGCTAGACCTGCTGTCGCCTCGTGGGGGATGTGGAAATGAGCTGATGCTGACGGTTTTCCTAAGCGTCTTGCCCGCTGCGTTGACAGCGCCCACAGCGCTTACACCGGCAAGGCCCTTTGGATGAGGCAATGTCGTGGTCGGAAGCGGGGTCGGAGGTGCCAAGATACTCGAAGGAGCTCGAAGACCACTACTCCTTGGCGTGGACGGTGCAGACTTTGCTGGAGCATGCGATGGGATATTTCCTGTGCTTTTTCGAGTTTTGTGTACTGGCAGCGCAGGTAATGCCATATTTGGCGGGCCATTTGAGGACCGTGATGGCCGCGGCAAGGCTGTCGCCATTTCGAGTACTGGCTCAGCGGTTTGTGAGAGATGATGAAGCTTGGAGTCGAGAAAGTCGACTTGTTCACCAGAGGGCCGGTATAAAGTAAATAAGCCTGTGACGCGTATTGTGCCCATCCACACAGTCCAAGTATCAGAGCCGCCCGCTACCTAAATGGTCAAGATCTGGTTCGTGTACAATTCTAGAGGGTTGGCTGAAACACGAGGGTACCGAAAAAGGAGGACCGTCGTCTAGCATTTAGAGTGGTGGTCGAAAGGGAAACAAATGTCTGGCAAACAGGGTCGACTGCATAAAATTCGTGTCGTTGCCACGCAATTTATCGTCGCCCTAATATCCAGGACGGTCAGTCTATATGATCCTGTAGGTGGAGAGCGGGTCGAGGGCTCAGGTCACAAAGCCGTGAGAGGCGACAAAGACATGAACCGGTGACATACGAAGGGGGGGCAAAGAATCAAAACATAGGCGACAGAACCCTTTGAAGGGGTGATCCGGTGTATAAACATACCAAGACCTCTGTTTTTTTTTTCCCTTTGAGAAGCAGAACAGAGGTTATCAAAAACAAAAGCTGCCGTATCTGACTGTCCGAAAATCCCACCCTCTCTCCTCGGCTTGTTGGCAATACCCGCTGATGAAGTCTTGGAATAATGCTGTATGTGAAGACGGGAAAACAAAACAATCAACGTGATGAAGCCCTGTCTAGATGAGAACCGTTACCGACTATCAGTCGCAAAGCTAGCGGGGCGAATCTAGCAAGATCGTTTTATTTTTTTTGGTACCCTTCGGTCTCAGTCTAGGCTCGGCGAAGGGTTCGAGGGCGGCAGAACCTGGTTCGGTGGGGGAGGGTTGAATACTGTCTCAATTGCCTTCGATCCTCCTCAGGCTTTCCTCTCCGTCGTTTTCGAAATACGGCCTGGGACAACGCAACAAGCCTCCTGTCGGTGATGTCGCCGTCAATAACGGTGGTGGTTTGACGAAAACGACAGAGCAGAAAGTTGAAGTGCTCAAAAGGGGTGGGTACAACACCAAGGCTCCAAGTTGGTACTTCGTACCTCGTAGTCAGATGGGAACATCGGATGGCACTGGCATTGAAGTACTCTGCAAGAACTTACCTTGGTGGGCGCCAACGGCAACGGCAACGGGAAAAGCCCCGTCTGCTCCAAGTTTCCAATTTAACTAGGGAACTAATACCGGGGTTCTGCTCAGGACTGACAGTCAGGGGTGAATGGATGGAATACATAGAGTGAGCACAAAGCTCACCCCCAAACGTCACGTATCACAGTCCAAGTGGAGAGCGTGAAAGCGTCCTGAACGTCTTGGAGCGGCGAGCAGATGTGGTGGTCCTGGGTGGTCTTGAGTCTTCGGTTTTGGGTCAACTGTTCAAATGTTCAATCTTCCCCTTTTCCTCTGCATCTTGCATTGTCCATGTCCATCAACTGTCTGGCCAAGTGCCTAGTGGCCCAGATACCATGGCAAGTGATACCAGACAGACCCTTGGTAACGAACGGGGTGCCTAGCGAACTGACTGGTTCAGCCAAGACAGGCCCGGCCAAGGCCCCACTTCAGCAGCCAGGGGGGACACCGGAGCAAATTGAGTCCAAGGAGTCAGCAGAAGACGTGCAAGACAAATTGCGAGAAAGGAAACGAGGGAAAAAAAAACACATTGAGTCAGTACCCCGTGCATAAAGTAAGAATTGGTCACTAAGGTATTTGATCAAATGTTGAAATGTCGTAGGCCATGGAAGCATCACACATACAAGCACGCACCAAAGAGCTGAAGACACTTGCCATGTGCGGACGACTGTCAGTGCCATCGCTCGGCCGGTCCGTTGGCCACCCACCATCCACACAATCCACTAACATCCCCTGTCCCGGCCGCCTCCAACCTGGTAGTTCGACGCCACTCATTACTAGAAGCATGCGGGCCACGACGCTGGAGACGCATAGCGAACAAGATCACCTTGTAACCAGTCCATCCGAAACGGAGTCGAGAGAGCCACTCTACTGGTATTACTACTATGTACCAATGTTACTGTTTTTCTTTACTCTCGACCGAAAACGCGGCCAACAGACATGGCACAAGAGACCATGCCAACAAGTTGGTTGAAGCTTTTTCGTTTGCATGTCTTGCCCTTGACAGCCTATTAACGAGCTTTTAGACTCCGTACAAGTTTCTGGGTACATGCTATCCAAGGTCAATCGATATACATATGCGAGTCACGTCATTTTCGACAGCTCTACCGAATCATAAGGCACACTGCTGGCATTACGAAATAAAGGCAATAACTACGCGGCAGGCAGCTCAGCTCCAGATCGGGTCAAACGGTAGCTTATAAGGTAAACTCCTCCGTACTGGTCCCCAGCAAGCGTCCTTCGTAATACTAGCAAGCACGAGCTGGGAAAGTCGTGCAGTTCACCAGGTTGATAGGGCTTCTCTGACACTGTTGGAAATACTGGCGACACGAGGGATGGGCCTGCTGGCGCCCAGTGGGAGAGAGGGCAAGAAGAGTAATTTCCTACACATCACTCACTGCCGCGTGCCTGCAATCTAATAAGAGTACGGTATATCTTTAATTGGCCACTAGATTTTGTGCAAGCAAGAAACCCCTGAGCCGGCTGCTGATCTACATGTAGTACTCATCTTGTGGCTTTTGGCGTCGTACGAGGCACCCTGGTGTGGTTTTGGGTACAAAATAAAGCGAGGACCGCTGTCGGGAGTTGCAATATTGTGTGTGTGTGTGTGGGTGTACCATATGTTATCAATGTTGCCCATGGCTCAGCTGTTCTTGTAATCTTGGTCGTCTTCTCATGCAATACCACGTCATGGACGAACGAGAGAGGTTTGCGCAGGTTTCTCCGCATTAGTCACACTTGAATATGATACACGGTGCCCAGTGCTCATTGCCGATGCCTTGCCCTGACGCATTAATATTGCACTCGGTACTCCTTAAGAAAGACAGTAGTACTACGGAGTATTGAATGGTCTTGGTAGCTCTTGCCCTCGGGGCTTTGGAGAAGCTGCCAGCAACAACCAGTCTGGAGAGGCAGGCTTGGCACAGTCGTTCCTGGCTCCTGCCGTAGAGGCCGCCTCCCCGCGTTCCCAAGGTCTGAGCTGATGACCTCCACTCGCTCCATCGGTCGTCCCATGAGCAGAGAACATTGCAGCGGCATTGTATTAATGGCAAACATACTACTCGACGCTCTGATGTTCTGTCCGATGTCAACTGGGCTTCAGAGCCTATCAGGAAGTATCATGCGTAAGTACTCCAAACCCCAGCCATGCCTCATTCCGGCGTTATTCGGGGACATGCGCTATTGAAGGTCCGGTTGGCTGATGCGTTGAAAGTGCTGACACTTATTTTGCCTCATCTTTATTCCCCCTTTTCTTCTTTAGAAGCCAATCCGACCCGATCCGCCCCTCCAAGGCCAACGACATGGGCAAATTTGATACATCACTCTCCCCAGTGAAGCCAGCAGGGGTATTAGGCTAGTCGACAGCCATCCATCGCCAAACGTCCAAGCTCAAGAATGAGGACAGGGAAATTTGACTTTGTTAGTTTTCCTTGGTCGCAACGTTTTAGTGTGCAACTGTCAGGCGTTGGCCTGCCATCTCAAGTTAGCATGCATTGCCGGACGCTGCGCTGAACCCCTCTCTGCAACCCTAACCAGATACGCTCTCTTCTCCAGCTGGGCTTCGCGTTCTGGCCCTCAATCTCAATTTGGCACCGCCAACCTGACTAATTTCAGTCGAACCAGTGAAGACCTATCTTGTGTAATCTCCCCAATCGCGCTTGGAGACGAGAATTAGCCCGGTGGCCACGATCCAATCTAGTACTAGTTTGCTGTGGCCCGTTGCGGCCCCAGTGTCATATCTGGGTTGTAGCTTTGCAGCCTCAAGTTTCTCACATTGTACTATAGTATTAACAATGTACTCTGTACTCTCTGCCTGTTATAGGATAGGTACGGACAACCCTCGTCACAAGCCGTCGCCCATAACAAGAGCTGGCGCCTCATATCAGTGGGCATGGGAGCATGCAGCGCTCACTTGCAAGATGATTGCCCCTTGGTGGATGCTGCACATTGCCGCTCGGATGTGGTCGCTTGCCAGTTACGAAAGTAGTATCATTCAACGGGGAAAAAAAAGAGTTGGCTAATCTTTATGAACTCGGCTAGGCCTCTCTATGTTGAGTTTCGCCAACTACGAACTAGGACATGGTCCCGTCGGAATCAACGTGAGCCTGCTCCATGCAAAACATGGCGGTGCCAAGACGGCATCGTGGAGCAAATGGCCCGGCCGAATAGCCATTTAACAGAATTATTCTGCCTTGGGTTTCGGTTTCGAAATGATCACAGAGTGTTGCTACAGGTGTGGCGTCAACTGCATCGGCAGAATTATACTGTCTTCAAACCTTGACAACTAGTCTTCCTCCTTTCGCCACTTGCTATACTCCAATAGCCCAGTTGGGCCGGAAAGTGAGGCAAGGGTTGGTGCTGATGCTTTCTCCTTCGCATCCGAGCATGCTGCGCATATGCAGGCGAACAATCAGCAAGATTAGGATACTTGGAACAGTGAGATCGGATCGTGGGTCAAGAAGCAATGGCAAGCATCGCCATCTAAGTGTCCAGACTACCTTTCCCGGCGCACGTTTTGAGACAGCCGGCGCGCACGTCCTCTGTACGAAAGCCCGACTTGGCTACTCCATGATTCTCAGTATGTTGCGTTAATAAATCATGTTTATAACCCAAAACAGGAAGGGGGAAAACACACCACTAAAAAGTACGGAGTACACGGGATGCACATACGTGCCGTCGACGATAGTACAAGGCCAGGATACATATGCAGCCGAGCAAAATCTACCCGCTTCATGACCGGTTCAGCCCTTTCCATATCTTCTATCCTATGGCCTATTTCACCGCCCGCCAATCTCATCTCACCTATAGGCAGCAAAGGCGCTTCTCCGTTGCACACACCCATGCTTAAGACTTCGTGACTCTATTAAGGCTACATTGAGTCACACTCACTAACTCATACCAGCAGAAAGAGCTACCACTGACAAATACTTATATTCGAGACCCATCATCACACAACAGCAACGCCCAAGCACCATCAACAACATGCATCTTCCCTGTCCATTTCTTGACGTGAGGGCAGATGGACTGTGGAGCTCCCATTTGCACCAAAGTCTGTATACAAAGCCAACCCCCGGGCTAAAACAGCGTCTCCCCCGGTTGCCGTAACGAAACGTCTGATCCTTGAGACTGCATGGGCGATTGACAATAGGTATGATCACCGGCGTGCTTGTTTGAGACAGCCCAGAACGGAATACCAAGCCATTGAATTTTGCGAATCACACCAAATCAGACCACCTCTCGACTAAACTTAGGTCCGTGTCTTCACTCTATCAATGGCAGCTGTTTTGTCGTTGCAAGACAGAGGCCATGCTTTTACACGAGGCTGGACATTCGCCGTGAATTCCCTGGGATATTTTTACCCCACGAACCCTTCAAGGTCTCTGTTCGTGACGTGAATGCACCGATTTTCAAGGGATCTTTTTTTCTCCTTTTTCTCGTTTTCTCATATTACTTCCAAAATGTGAATATATCGGTGTTCGCATATCATAGCTACCTTCAGATCCATCGCTCAACCGCCGCCGACAGGGTAATATCCCACATCGACAAACAAACAAGTAGCGCAAGATTTCTGGTACAAAGATACATAATATTGTACTAAACCCGATCAACGGGTTCCATATCTACACAGGTAGCTAGCTCTTCTTCTGCAAGTGATACAAGTGAGACACGCATCGACATCCTGCATGAACCTGGGCGACATGGGCGTCCTCCCACATCAACATCATCTCCAACAATACCAGGATTAGAATCATACGGCTCCCCCTCCTCGTAGGATATCCGCCCGCCAAAAGGAACATTTCCATCACGGAACTCCTTCATCCACCCAACGCCCTCACACCTTTCCCTACACTGCCCGTCTCAAAAACCTCAACGACACCCAATCCCACTGCCTGACCCAACACCCACTCCCACTCAACGCCCCAAAACTCTTTCCACCTCGTCCCATACAGTCCGTTGCCCTCGAACTTCTCCTTCAACCACGATTCGGGGCCCTCTCCCCATTTCGTCTTGCCCAGCGCCTCGCGCACCCAGTCAACCGCCCCGTCCGCCAACTTGAGAAACCTCCCATGTCCTGGTACCGCGATCCGAAAGGCGGCCAGGCCACCGCCCCGTCTCGTCAGGGCAGGCGCGCCGCCTCCTCCCCCAGCGAGATGAATGGCGTTTGGCCCGCCGACGGCTGAAACCGTCCCGGACGCAAACCTAGACACGTGCTGGATGGACGTCAGCGTCGTGCGGTCCTCTGGCCGAACATGCAGCGTGCTCCCCGGCGCGGCAGTCGAGCTCGTCAGGAAGCCCGCCCTCACCAGCTCGTCCATCTGGCTGGCCGTCAGGCCATGGTCGCCGTCGCCCTCTCGCTCGATCGTCTGGGCGGCGGCGTTGCCCTGCAAGACTTGCCAAAACTTGGCCCTCGCGGCGTCTGATATCTCGCCCGACGCCGCCGCCCTGCGCAGCATCTCGTCCAAGTCGCCCGCCTCAATGAGCGCCTCCCCCATCCCGCCCCTCCTCTCAACCCGGACTTTTCGTAGAACCCCCTTGCCCACCAACTCCACGACTTCTCGTTCAATCCTCCCCGGCGAGCTAGTCAGCACGGCGTGTACATGGCCAGTCGTCACGAGTGGGGGGATGGACACCCGGTAGTTGAGCACCTCGGCGGTCCGGGTGGACGTGAATCCGGATCCAGGAACAGCCGAGAACATGCGTGAGCGGATGTACCGCATTGCCTGTGGCACGTCGCGGAGGGCAAGTTCCTCCTGGGGGGTCAGGATCGGTGCGGCGCCAAGGTCGCCGAACTTGAGGGGGAAGAGGGCATCGTCTTGAGATTCCGGAGGTGGCCTCTTCTTGCGTGGGGACGAGGACTGGGCCGTTTGTGCGGACGAGGAGCGAGGTTTGGGCTTTGTGACGCGTGGCCTGCCTAGTATTGAGCGGATGCTTTGGGGCATTGTGCTTCTGTCTCGGCTTTGTATAGCAGATGATGATGGACCCAACATCGAGGGTGGCGGATCTGATAGCAACAACAATGGCGTGGTGTACGTCAAAGCGCCCACGACGGGATGAGACACACAGAAAAGCAGCCCAACTTCGCCAATGTACTCAAGAATTCTCTTTAGTTTGTTCTAGGATACATACATATATAAATACAATGTATGTGAGCATGTGATGATGCAACGAAGGTCGTTATCTCTACCTACCCTACGTGGCGATTCAGTGATTTCGATTACTAACCATCAGCACAAAGAACCAATCTCACCCACTTCACACAGACGGCTAAAGAGCAGAACAAGTGCAGTAATAGTCAATTGTACATGATTACATGTATGCAAAATCATACAATTTGGCCCAAACGCTCAAACACCTGCTATCCAAATGCAAATAGCCACCCACATATATGCCCAGGTACATACTACATACATACACACACCTCGCTCACCCCGCTGTAGTTAGCATGTACGACGTGATAGAACTCATCCGCTCGCTCGTCAACTTCAATGATATCCTCAAAAACTCCCTTGCAACACTCGGCTGATCCTTTTGCAATTTCTCCCACGCCTCACAATCCATTTGCCACACTACACAGTCCCTCTCCACCACCGCCGTCGCCGTGCGTTCCGTCTCCGAGAAGAATGGTAGTTCGCCACATGTAGTGCCAGCAACTATGCTTTCGCAAAGCCAGCCCTGCGGTAAGTCGTACTCCGCGCGAAGTATGCCCCGCTCCACGAGATAGAAGCCGTTTGCTTTCTCGCCGCGGCGGAATAGGACTGTCCCTGCGGGGTACTCTTTTCTCTTAAAGTAGGATGTTGCTTGGAACCAAAAGTCCTCATTCTTGCCACTCAAGCCTTGGAAAACTTGGAGCATCAGGCGAAGGGGCTCATTGAAGCTTTGCCATTTAGAGGCGTGAGGTATGTCGACACTCGTGAGGGCCTCGCGGGCGGCCTCGACGAGGTGTGTTTGTCGGGGTGAGTTGAATGGCGGGTCAAAAGATGAGAAGGATGATGAGTTTGCCGCTGTTGGGACGTCGAGACTTGGTGTGGCGATTCTCTTGGCTGAGTTGAGTTCTTCTTGTCTGGCGTACAGGGTCTTGAGGAGCTCGTTTTCGCAGCCTTCCAGTGCCGAGTTTAGGTTGGGCAGCATGTTGACCTTGTCGTTATCCAGACCGACAGCGCGGAGATTTCGCCCCAACTGGCTTTCTGCATCAACTCCACTGAGGACAAAAAGGACGCCCTTCTTGTCGAGGCGACGGCTGATTGTGTTGAAGGCTTCGCCAGCAGAGTAGTCCAGTCCGGTAACGTGCCACAGGTCTAGGATGAGGAACTTGATGGGCTTTTTGGAGAAGGTGTGGTCATCTAGCAGTGCTCGAATCTTTTCTTCAACGCTGACAATGGTTCCAAAGAAGAGGTATCCAGTTAGTTTCATGATGTAGATCTGCTGGCCAACCTGATTTAGGTAGTGGTGCTGTGATGGGTTGCGACGAACTGTCGAGCTAACGATTCCACCATCATATGATGCCCGGACGGCCGAGACTCGAGAGGTCTGAATAATCAACGAAACAAAAGCCAACAAGATTCCGACTCCAATACCAACAACAAAGTCGTGGATGCCCATCACGAGAACTATGACGATGACGGTTAAGTATTCGGCAACCTTGAGCTTTTTACGAGGAAGCCAGATTGCTTCTAGGAGAAGTTCGAATCCCAGGTCGAAAATGAGTGTTCCCACCATCATAACTGGGATGAAGCCGATCAGTGATGGCCCAATCATCATGACGCCGAACGTGGCTACGGCCAAAATGTAACCTGCAAGCCTCTTGTCTCCGCCAGACCGGACAAAAAAGATAGTGTTGGCATAGACAAGGTAATTTTGGATACTACCCATACATCCTGACAGGATATTGGAGTAGCCATGCAGTTTGAGCTCCTTGTCGAGATCTGCATTGTCCTCTCCCGTGTTCAAAGCTAATGCGGGCACGTTGATGGGGACGTGGAGAATACCGAAGAAGGTCAAAGCCATCATTGCAGGCACAACCTCGAGAATAGCATCCCAATGTACCAAGTTGAACTCTATGTAGCAAAAGTTAGCCTGCCAAAGGTCTTGAAACCGAAAAGGGCAATAGATGTGTTTCCCAATTGAGCTTACGGTACAGCGTGTAAAAGTACCACCAAGGCTCTCCTTGTGGTGGCCCCTGAAATATCCAGCCGTTGTCACGCAATGCGTCCACCTCCAAAGCGTCAATCGAGAAGACAAAGATGTAGAATATCAGTGGAATGGCTAGGATGAAAAGCGGTAGGAAGTACTTGGACCGTATCTTGGACTGCCCGTAGAACAGAAAAATAGCCAACACGAGCGGAAAGATCCACAGAAGGAGAGTGTCGGACCGTGTCAGCTTGTTCAGAGTATCCAGATTGTACTCAAGACCATCCAAACGTGCCGAGACCTCAAATCCAGTGGCAATCAGGAACCAGCCAACACCGCCAATGCAGCCGATGAGGATGTGCCTGGGGATGAAACCCACCATGTAGCCAAACTTGAATTTACCCATGAGATAAAAGACTAGGCCCGTCATGATGGAACTCGCGGCGTATGCGACAATGGTGGTGGCGATAACGGCATCAGGCTTGTCTTCACCTACATTATCCATAATCTTTTGCGCCATATTATGAAAGAAGGGAACAACTTCGATCTGGTGTACATTGGTTAGTCAAGGCGCCTGGATGCGCGAGGAGCCTTCAACGTACCAGTTCGGACCCGATGGCTCCCCTGAAGATACTACCGGATGAGAAGGTGACTTGGGCCACAATCGTACTGACGTAGTAAATGGAGATACCAGCAGAGCCCAAATGCGAAAATAACTGCTTCCCAAGAGGGAATAGAATCATTCCTGGCAGTGAGTAAGCGATGGAAGTTCACAATTTTTCAAATTGGCTCTACAACAACTTACCGTAGGATAGGGCATCTAGGATATTGAGCAAGAGCCCAACAGTAACAGCCGGAAGGCACGAGACTGGTTCCACAACCATGTTATGCCACAAAGCCTTGCGATCCCATCGATGAGGGTTTACTGCCATCTTGACTACGTGCAAAACATGGCCCTCAAGTTCCTGTCCCTTCTCGACAAATCCGGCATACCATTTCCTGAGCTGAGTATCTTTTTGTCCCTCGAGATCGCCAATAGTATCGTCGCTTTCATCCGACACATGACCTAGAAGAGGCGTCTGTTCGTTGGCGGCAGGAGTTTGCTCGGGCCGTCTGGGCTGGTCATACTCATCTTCTGAAGCTTTCCGTCGCTGTCTCGACTCGACGGCTGGCGGCTCGGTTGAACTAGGAGCGTCGGCAGCGACAGAATGCGGTGGCGATCTTCTCAGAAGATTGGACAACATTGAAGGTCCTGTTTCCTCAACCGCAATGTCCACCGCAGTGTCTGCGTCCCGCTCCTCAGGAGACGCCGGCTCTGATACTTCTGGGATGGTGCCAGAAGCAGCAGCATCGTCTTCGGCTCGCTTGCGTCCATCCTGAGCCTGTTGAAAAAGATCCTGTGCCGACGCTCTGTTCCGCTGCAAGAATGATGGCCGCCTAGGAGCGGTGCCATCGGACAACAGGTAGCTAGCTAGCTCGGCAGTATCTTCACGGACGGTTCGGGCATTTTGCTCGCTGTCGACGGGAGCTGTCGCGAGTTAGTTGGCAAAGCGCTTATCACGACGGTCAGTATTGCGGTTGAGGTGGGACGTACGCAGCTGTCCTCGAACTGAAGTATGGAGATAGGATCGAATTGGTTCCCGATACGCCTTTGGTGATCCTGCAGAAGAAGACAAGCGTTGGGCGGAGTCGTCGTGGGAGGTTGCAGCTTCCGCCACATCGTCGTGAGAGGACTGCTGGCGGGCTATCTGCGAGGAGAAGCTGGAGGACCTGCTCCTCCAAGGTGAGAAACTGAGAATGGAAGTAGACATGGCTTGAGACTGGGGCAAGCGGCTCCCCCACGTGTGCCGTCGATGCGATCAGCTACCGGCGTCGCATGGGCGTAGTCGGACAGAGGGTGAAGGTCAAAAAGCACAAGCGGATAGCTCTGCACATGGAACACAACAGGAGCAGAAAGCATTTACTACGCACTCATGGAGGCGACAAGAGCCATCAATTCGTGTTATCGAGCTGGAAGAGTCCGTCCAGTAGTCTAGCGGGAAGCCATAGCTCCACCTTGGAGACCAGTTTGACACCTTTATCTGCGTGTGGATTGTTGCGTGTGGATGGACGGATTGGGACGGGGATGAGAGCGGCAAAAGATGGATTGAGGATTGGTGACAGTGGTAGGACAATGGTAGTGTGTCCGCTGGTCTATGGAGACGGCGAGACGGGTTGACGAGCGACTGCAGCTATCGTGACAGAAGTTGGGAGTGGTAATGGTGTCGGACAAGGGATGAGGAGGGAGTGACGTCGAAAAGGGCGATGATAGCGTAATGCAGATGGAGCAGGGATGAGATGCCGCAGCGCAACGCTGTATACCGATCAAGATGGAGAGTTGCCAAGTAAATCAATAGCAGTACGTAGTTGTAACAGCCAACGATGCGGATGTCCGCGTCTGGCCCAATTCAATTCAAGATAATCTGCAATTGAAGACCGTTTGATCAAGTCCTTGGTCAGCGCTGGTCAACTGCCAACCTGCATGCATGTGTGCGCCCCCAACCGTACCACCAGTGGGCAGGACTCGGGAGTAACACGTACCTGGGTAGTAACTAGTAGTAGTTAGTAGGCACCGCAGCCCCTGTAATCGAACCTCCGGCCCCGCTGAACCGCTATCCGGGCAAGGGGGTGAAAGAAAACAAGAGACACTCCGTCGATGCAAGCGAGTGGTGAGTGTCCCATGTTTTTCTGCTACCCGCGCCATGCTGCAGCCAATCATATTCAGCCGATTTGTCTCTATTGGAACTGCTGCATGCGCTGTCGGCTTGCAAGGGGGCTTTCAACTCGTCGACATTGAAACCGACATCCCCTCATTTGTCAAGTCCTTCTTGATTGGCCGACCAAGCGTGATACAGCGTGGCCTACGTACTCGAGCATACGGAGTAAACTACGGAGCAAATGCTTTCCATCAATCCCGTATCTGCAACGATCCAGATGTCGGCTTTCGCGGGAACGGCAAATGATTATTTGCCAGTCCGTCATCAACGCCATGCAGCTCGGACCTCTGCTCTGCGTCAAGCCAAAGCGCAGCATTCAATTGCCAACCAAATCATAATACCCGTCAACTACCTTCCTTCTCAGCGTTCAGATGTTCCTGCGGCCAAGCGTCGTCATGTCAGGCTCAACTACACAAGCTATTTCAACTTATGCCAATCAGACACTCCCAAACCATCATATCCAATAACTCCTACACATTCACCGTCGACAAGAATATTATATTTGTGCCCCAAGACAATTCCACCGAATCGGAAGTGACATTCTATTCTATACCCTTACTCCAAAACCCACTTCATTTCAAGCCACATCTATTATTTGCTGTCCATCTTCATATCCCAAACGCCAGTCCCCATGCCATAGTATATCCCAGCCCCTGTTTCTACATAGTCTTTTGCCAAGCCCTCTGAATAGCGGCCCAATATTTCTTGGGAAACTTCCTCATATGTTCCACGTGTCCACTCCCATCAAATATCTCCATATCAGCCTTTCTCCCCAAGGCCCTCGACTCGGCAATATTCGACTCAATGTCCTCCCACCCGATAAGATCATCCTCCTTGCTGTACAGGTACAGTCTGCTCGCATCTGCCGCCTCATACTTTTCATTGTTCACAGCCTTGACGCTCCACGCACCCGCGCTTTCTCGTCCAATCGTCCACGCATATACCGAATTCACGCACAGAAACGCCGCCCAGATGGACTGCGTCATAGCAAACGGCCAGGGGAACCAGGCCGCCGTTCCGAGAGCCATTGCCCGCGACCAGCGCAAGACGTTTGACCATGACCAATATACGCTGCCGGGCGTCGAGTCCAGGCTGAGGAGCTGGTGAGGTAGGGGCTTGCCGTAAACCTCTTGGTAAGAGTTCAGCGTGGCGGCGTAGTTGATGGCTCCTGTGTTGGACATGGCGTGGACCAGAATTCGCTCGTTGTCGAGAGTCGTCGACTTGTTAGAAAGGGCTTTCAGGACCGGGACCATGTGTTCTGATCGCGTTTGGAGGTCGGAGAACATGGCCCGGGAGATTGGCGAGAGGATGACGATTTGTGTTGCGTGAGGGAAGAGTTCGCGGAACCCGTCGGCGTATTTGGCGACGTGTTTGGGGAGACCATCTCCCCAGCCGTACAGCAGAACGATGGTTGGGTTGATTTCACTGCGCTTCTTTTGCTCCTCGGTTTCAATTGCTTCACCGGGTCGGCTGAATACTTGATCGGACAGCAACGTGAACCCTGGGAAGACGGGGTCTTTGTATGTCATTATTACCCAACGAAGATGCGACGCCAAGCAAATAAAGGTGCAACATGTAAGAGATACAAGACGGGAACAAAACTATATGTATTATGAGAGATTTCCAAGGCAGGCAGTTGCTCGAGGTTTTATCAGTACCCTTGAAGTGCTAAACCCATACCATGTCGGCTCTCGTTCACTTGTATATATATATATGTGCTCATCGCCTGGTATCTTCAGGTCACCAGTGGGGAACGCGTCAGACTTAGACGTCAGTAAAAACCACATAACGAATTCGCATGTTTCCCTAGTGTTTCGTCATCCCCAATCTCAACAATTTTTCATCCCTTGGCTCGCGCAATTATACTTATTTGTTAGTTCTGAGCTAGGATCGGGTTCCCAACAATACATAGATCACTTAGTAAGTGGGCTCGGTGGGTTGCCAGAGAATTCAAGGTAAGTAAGTGGACGCTTCACGGATGGTGGGTCAGTGTTTGATGCTCGATGCCGAGGCACGGAGACTATGTTGTAATCAAACACCGCCTATTTGGGTAAAAGGGCCGGTCAGGCGGCGTGGACGGCAGCGGGAAAATTCCACTATCCCCGTTGACTTCCGGCCCGTACGGAGTGTAGTTTCTGTCATTCGGACTTTTGCAGAGACCACTTTGATGGATTGATTCGTTGCTGTAAACTCTGTGCGTTGTTGTCGAGAAGAACGAATTTTGGCACTCCCATCAAGGTTCAGTAGCTAGGCGACAGGGCGGCTGTCGCAGTAACGCACAGCCTTGCTGTATCCTAATAGCAACAGTCGACCTGCAGATGTATCTGTAGAAGGTTCCTTGACCGCCTGCAACAGGAGGTAATGACCAAGTCGCTTCATCCATTGGCAAGAGACTTGGAAGAATCTTTAAACCAATGGCTGGAGCCATGTCACCAGCAGGAACCAGTTTTGACCCCCGTACTTGCAATGTCGTGATATTGACGTCTCAGCCCAACGCCCGCCCATGGGTAACGGGTTGGGGCTCCGTTGCTATTATTGGGGCAGAGCCACACTGCTCCATGCCAATGCGGCAGTGTCCGGGCTGCATTTGACTGTCATCAGTACTCCAGAGGTATAGCCTACCAGGAGCTGGCTTCTTGGTGTAGTGGTGATGACCATGCTGTGGTCTTCATAAGAACAAACTCCCCATCGCCCTGGCTTGATCGGCGGAGGGCCACCTCACGTCGTCTCCTTGACAAGATTCTGCATAGTGGTCTGTGAAGACATCATGCGGCACTGTATCAGTGCTGATGAATCAACGGAAACAGGCACATCAGCCGAGTTTCTGGAGATATCCCTGAGCAATCAACCGCTCCACATCGCCTTGCCGAACATAGAACTGGCTGTTTTTCGTCAATGTAATAGCACTAGTGTCGTTGTCAGTTCGCCTTCGTGGCCCAGAACCATGCTTCCTACATACCCATACTCCGTCTGGATCTCACCAGCATCCTTGAGCACTCGCACGTCGATGAACAAATCCCGCGGCGGTTCCAAACTGCCAGTCAAGTCGATATCCGTCCATTGGCCCTTGTAAGCAGCCAGTAAATCACTATATTGCCGCACGTATTCTTCTTCTTGGGGGCTGAGACTGCTCGTCGAAGCATCCCCAGCTGCAGGCGCGCCGTTTGATGCAGCATTTGAGTCGCGTAGTTGCTGCCCGGAGAGATCAACAACGTCTGACCCGTTCCACACAAGCTCTTCCAGCTTGTCGGTCCGTGTTCTGTGGTATGCCAACAGGCAGCGTTTGTTGCGTCGCATTGACAAATGGTTCACGAGCAGGGTGCAAGCAACGGCTTGATCTGCGGACGGGTCGAAGGAGCCCTGGAATGGTTCAAGAAGGTCCTTGACGTCTTTGTCGAGATCTCTAACTTCTCTTGTCACCGCACGAACGAGCTCGGCTTGATATGGCGGTAGGTGGGCGAGGTTCTGCGTCCTTTTGGCGTGTTGAACCTGGCCATTGAGTTAGTGCCGAGGAATAGTTGCGGGATGCGTTCTCTCGAATCTACGTACCAATTTCACTCCCATGTCTCCGTACATGTTGGAAAAAGAGATTTCTGTCCTTTCTTGGCTGGGACAAGTTTTCCGCGAATTTTCCTTAACAAAGAAGAGGCCAAGGGTGGCGGTCGTCTTGAGATGGACGCGACTCAAGTGACGGACGCGGTCCAGGTGGGAGCACAGAGGTTGCCCTACCCCGCTAGATCACCAAGTAATACAATGAACGGAGTAGCGAGCTTGGCTAGCACCAGTTGAGAGGATTGGCGGGGGGGGGTGGCTGCCTGCCCCGCCAATACGGAGCAAAATTGCCTGCCGGTGCTTGGAGATGGGGACATCTGGACCTCCAATTTCTTTCAGTATAGGCGGCGTGAAGAACATTGAAATCAAAGATACCTACCTACCTGGTAGGCACCGTGCAGCAGGCAATCGCAATACTTGGTGTGCAGTCGTGAAACCGCATGCCGGCTGGTTTCAGCACAGTGATAATGTCTCTGGCTGCGCTAGTCGCCTCAAATGATGCAAAACGACAATATGGAACCAAATAGTACGGAGTACGAAGTCCAGATGGGAAAGTGGAAAGTGAACAGTGCTCATATGACTGGATAATAAATACCTTTGTTTACCAAGTCATCTCCCGAGATGAGATGATCAGACCGCCAGGCAAAGATAGCCACATTTCAATTTGTTCACACCATTCCAATGCTAACTACAATCTACAACAGCTCGACGTACAGGGAGTGGCTTGCGCATATAGGCCGGGACTTGAGCTCAGAATGCCATCTTTTTCTCCCTCTAGGATGGAAAGAGTCATTCTTGGCGAACGAGCTTTGTGCATCGCAATACTACGAGCCATGTCTAAATCAATGCCGACGGAATCTGTGACTGAAAATGCCAGTTAGCAAGCTTGTTGGCATCGAAACTCGGGACAAATAAAATGAGCGAACGGACAGTGTTCAGAGATGCATAAATGCTTGTGATTTCGTCAGTCGGCGGGTCTTGAGTCCGCCTCCGAAACACGGACCAATTTTTCTCATCATCAAAGTCTTGGCAACTTGCCATCGTGGAGGAAGTAATGTCAAGCGTAGTCGGAAAATGGTAGAAACTTACATTTAAGAAACAATTGAGCTTGCAGGCTGAGCATAAACCCAAGGCTCCAACCAGGGTGGACACAATAAACGTATCCCACAAGCTACAAATGTAGGCAATTGATGCTGCGCCATTGCGGCTACATGTCTTTTCTTTCCCCTTTTTTTTTTAAAAAAAAAAGAGGTGCAGGTCGAAGAAAACAGAATGGAAGGGCTAGAAATTTTATCTATTTTGTCCCCAGCTCAATGTAGTGGATCCCTGGCCAACTTAGGACAAATGAGCGGAGAAAGCGTCGGGCCGTGGACCACCGTCACCACTTGAGCACGCAGCGCCACTGCGCTCGACGTAAGAGCTCTGGCAGCCTATCGCCTCGAGTAGTGTGCAAGCTTCGTTTGCATTCTCATTCTCGGGTTCTTACAGTCGTTCAGCTCTCGATTCCTAACGCAACTCTTTGACACGGACCCAACTGGACTTTTTGCCAGAGCGAGACAAAATGCCTATTGCGCCCATCATCACCTTCAAGGCCGGCCAATGCGAGGTTGACGTACGCCACTCTTGTCCTTACATTGCCGTTACACTGTCTCCGTGCTAGTTTGACCTCGTTTCTCACTGACATCTCATCTTCATAGGACGGCTCATCGCGGCCTCTCAAGGTTAAGCCTCAGCCTCAGCCTGGATATCTCTACTTATATTCTGAAGATGGTACGCTCTTCCAATCTTTTTTTAGGCTGATGACAATTGATTCTAACACCTGCAAGACCTGATACATTTTTGTTGGCGCAAACGCGATCAGTCTCTCGATGAACCGGAACTTGATCTAGTCATGGTGCCAACTGATGGCAGCTTTGTCCCTTACGAACACAATGCAAATTCTGAACCCACCGCAAAGACGAATGGCCGTATTTTTGTTCTCAAGTTCGCATCTTCGTCTCAGCGCTACCTGTTCTGGATGCAGTCAAAACCACAAAGTCGCGACGGGGACCCCAGCTGGTTTAGCCCCAGAGATCGTAAGATTGGTGACATTGTGAACAGACTGCTACAGGGTGAAGAGGTTAATGTGACGAGCGAGCTGGCTTCTGTCCGAAACGTCGACGATCGAGACGATGACGATGACGAGACTATGGAGGATGTCGAAGGCACGCGTGGTCAACATGCCCATCGTGGTAGCGGGAGCGGCGGGGCCGGCCCTGATGCCACTGGAGGAGACGTCAGAGAAGAGGGCGAAGAGTCAAGAGAGGGTGGTGCTGATGGTGCCAGAGCGTAGGTCATCCCCCATTGCAAGGCGGTTTTCCCCCGAAGGGGCTGCTGTCATTTTTTTTATTCTTTATTTTTTCACTTTTTGGCCGTTGCAAGCTATGTGGTGTCGGAAAGAGCGGAAAAGGGTGCACAATAAATGTCCGTCCCAGTGACTGTATTACTACTAGAGCCTCGCATGTCGCAGCAGAAGAAAGCTAAACAAATGACACATCAGCATGTACTGGTTGATTGGGCGATCTCGTGATTTTAAGCTGACCAGCCTCTAGGGCTTCCTCGTCAGCACCAGACGCCGCAGCAGCCGTGAGAAACTTTCTGGAATCATTGAGAGGCCAGCAAGGACTTTCGGGGGGACACCAGCAACAGTCGGACGTGCCATATCCTCACCTCAACCATCTTTTGCCCACCGCAATCACCGTGCCAGTGATCGACAGCGCAGCACCTGAATACATTGATTCTTTGTTGAGCTTTCTGCCCCCGTCTGTCATTGTCCTTGCCAATGGAACAGCTGCTGCAGAAGAAAGCCAGGGGGAACCATCAGCGGATGCCATTGAGGCAGCCAAGGCATCACTCTCGTTTGACGACAAACGAAGCTTATTGAAGAGAGTTTTGCGAAGCCCACAGCTTAATCAGGCCCTGGGGGTTCTAACCATGGCGTTGAGAGATGGTGGACTTCCCTTGGTTGCGGATGCCCTTGGCATTAGTGTTGAGAACGGTGGCTACATGCAGGGCAGCGGAATGCCGCTGGGAGGAGGTCAGGCAGTCAAGGTTTTTGTAGACGGCGTTAGAAAGACTGTTCAAGAGCGGAGGCAGTGAACAAATCACTTAGAGTCCTTGAAAAGCCGAGGTGCGGTTGAAAAAACGGGACACACGTCCATGTAGTGTACCTGAGCGTGGCATGTAGAATACCGCTATTTGCATACGCAAGACTTGGACAAGACAGGCCTGCAAAAGAAATTGGACATGCTAAATACCAAGAACACACCTATGAAACGGGGATATACATTAGAAATGCTGTTTTTAAGTTTATTGAGCTGACATTGCTAAATAAAAATAATGTCCCAGCGAGTGACTGTGATTGCCACAATCCCAAAATGCTGGCCCCACGTACGACTCGTGGGTCTGACGTACAGACGGCAAGCTGTCCAGGAAAGCTGGCACCGCCCTCGGCGCGAGCGAGCACCTCTTTTTCGACATTCCATGCTTTGTCGATTGCGAGGGTAGAGCAGCGAAAATGGACTTGCCATTCCCGACCGATATCCAGGAGTTCGACGCCGACGACCGGATATCGTTTTCACGACTCGACAACAAGTTCATCGCTGTTCACGACGACGGCACCGAGTTCGAGTTTGATGCAGATCTGAAGCGATGGGTGCCTGCGGAGGAGGAACCGCTAGATCACGAGGGGCACAGCTATGGACAAGACTCGCCGGCACAAGAATTACAAGGCGGTGCAAGGAAGAGACATTTTGAGACGGAGAACGGGTCCGAGGTGAGCCCTTGTTAGCTGCAGCACCACATCGTGATATCGCCGCCTCTACGTCCATGAGAATGAAATAATGGCATAACCTGACAGTCACATATTACCAGGGAAGCAACCAAACACCACCGGCACGTCCGAATAAGAAGCAAAAAGCGCCTCCACGGCCGCGAGAAAACACGGCCGTCTATGTCACCGGCTTGCCTCTTGATGCAACGGTGTCCGAAGTCCACGATTTGTTCTCGCGCAAGGGAGGTGTCATTGCCGAGGAGATTGATAGCGGTGCGCCGAGGATCAAGTTGTACTCAGATGAGTCGGGGAACTTCAAGGGTGACGCATTGATTGTGTTTTTCAAACCACAAAGCGTAGAGATGGCAATTATGCTGCTAGACGACACGGATTTTCGCGTGACTGCCACGGGGACACGAGAAGGCAGAATGCGAGTCCAGGCTGCAGATTCAAGTTACAAAAAGGTTCAGTACGAAGCGGACGGAACTCCGGGCGGTGGTAGCAACGGCGGGCAGCAAGACAAGCGGCCACAGAGAAGCGATCGCGACCGCCAGAAAATCATCAAGAAGACGCAAAAACTCGACGCCAAGTTGGCGGATTGGGACGACGACGATCCTTACCCAGCCATGACGCAGTCCAATTCAAAGAAGGACAGGACGGTTATCCTGCGCCACATGTTTACGCTTGAGGAGTTGGATGAGGACCCTGCCGCCTTGCTGGAGATAAAGGAGGACATTCGAGATGAGTGTGCCAAGTTGGGTACGGTGACGAGTGTTGTGTTGTACGATCAAGAAGAAGATGGTGTTGTGTCGGTGAGGTTCAAGGATACAGAGTCGGCTGCGGCGTGTATTAAGCTTATGCACGGGAGAAGCTTTGACGGGCGCGTGGTGGAAGCGTCCCTCAAGACGGGCAAGGAGAAATTCAAGAAGTCTGATAAAGATACGAGTAAGGATCATGATTCAGATTAATAGGGGACGGGTAGCTTTTGGAGGGGTGGTTCGTTTTGTATTAGTACTAGATTTGAAATAAAGCAGATACCCTCGAAATACATGTATCAATATCATGGCTCTCTGGAATTTGACGAAAAAAACTACGCCGTTGCTACTAGTTCCCCCACCGGGTACGCCATGGATACAACTAAGAGAGGGAGGCCTTTTCCTCCGAGATGTACCAAATCGCCGCTTCGATGATCCTATATACGATTTGCAACTCTTGTTCATCTGTGAAACGTTAGCAATATACAGACTTGTGTGTGAATGATTTATTAAAGGTGGTCAACACAACACATGTCACTTACTCCTCGGAGCATAAATCATGACAAAATTTGCCGCTACTGGCATCTGCAGAAACCAGCCCTTTCTCGCAAGCGGATGCATCTGTCCCCATCCCTTGGCCAACACCTCCGCAATATCATCCGGATGCAAGCACATGTGCATCGAGTGATCCGAGTCATGAACATGAACAATCTCGCCCTGGCAGTTTGTCCGCAGCGCATGTTTCGCAAACAAGGCCAGCCCGTGTTTTTCCACGCACGACCTCTCCGTCCCGAACTTGAGGGGGCTCCCGTTGCCCAGCTTCACCATTGCCCTCCGCAGCGTCTGGTAGCTATTCCGCGCGCCGTGCTGGTCCAGCTGTCGCTGGGGAGCGATGCCCACCACCCGGGGCCGAGGACCAGACCGGTAGGGCAGGTTTTGTGAGCGCAGCATGCCCGATGGCGAGGCATGGTTGACGGCGAGGTGGGCGGGCGGTGTGAATGGGTCACGGAGAGCCCAGAGACGCCACCACGATATCTGCAGGTAGCCGTAGAAGGTGGGCGATGTGCCTCCGGGCCCGAGGCTGAGGAAGTTTTCGTAGTCGTTGTGGACGAGCACGAGGAGAGGTGTCAGGAGGATGAGCCATTCGGTGAGGGTCGATCCCAGGCAGTGAATTGATATAAGGAGGGCGGCAGAGAGGGTGAAGATGCTGGAGCCGGTGAGGGTGACCGATATTGGCTTCTGGTGCAGTTGATATGATGGTGATGATGACGGTGGTGGTGGAGGAGGAGGAGGAGGGGGAGGTTGCAAAGTTACGACGTCTTGCTCGGGAGTTAGAGTAGACGTGGCTGACGCGATAGTGACGGACATGTTTGCTCAAGAGAGACGAGTTACAGATGTTTATTGTAAGTAACGACTTGGTCCAACACTCTATACGGTCCCAATGGACACAATGGACGAGACGGGATTCGGCGTGCTGATGCACAGAGCTCTCACGATTCCATCTCAAGACGGGGTTGTCCCAGAACCCGTCTTTTATGCCACACGCATGGCCTGGCACGTCCCAAAAGCCACCTACCCAAATCTGACACATCCTTTAGCATTGGACGATCTAAATCCACGCCATGTTCTCCGTGATAGGCCCTCTGCAGGAGAGGTTTCACACTGCTCCCCCCGGTGACTGGTTGCTGCTTGTTGGCAGCTGCATCTAGCAATCCCTAGCCACCGGGCCATCGGGTCATCGGGCTGGCTGGTGTGTCTTGCTAGATGCGAAGCCAGTTATGTGCTGCGCTAGGTTAAACGGTAGCGCCCTGTGAGTTCTTGGCCAGTTGAAGAGAGCGGTGTTGCGGTATCTGACCAGCCATGGCGTTGGGTTGCCGATGGTGGTTGAATTTTGGGTTTTGGGCTCGTCGTGATTCGGGAGTCGAGACTCTCTTCTCCAGCACATGACATGTCGTCTTGCCATAAGCGGGGACCGTTTTCACCTTTATTGCGAGGGCCGGCCGGGGGATTACAGTCCAAGTGTCAACCGGTACACTTGCACGTTTGAATTTCAACCAGACTCATGGACAACAGATACTCCAGAGAATGAATGATACTCCACGGTGGTAAACCATCAATCACTTACAGTTCCCCATGGTAGTCCATTGGGCCTCAGCACACCATGCAGGGTCTCAGCTCCGTAGGCGAAATCTCTCTTTCCACTTCACAAAGACTCCACGCAATGGCAAGCAAGCGCTCTAGACTTTTTGACAATGCATACACACTTCAAAGGACATCCCGCAATCGGACACTGGAAATGTGCAACCCGCCGAGCACGCTGTTCCCGGGTGGGTGAGGCATGGCTCGTCACCTCGTTGCTCGGCAACCGCATCTGATCCCCTGCCAACACACATGGTCCAATCCACAGCCGACATTTGCCTGGACTGAGACGTCTTTTTGCTGTAGGATTTCTCTTCATGCTGCATGACTAAATATCGTACATGGCCATTTTGTTGCGTTTTTATCCCACCACTGGAACGCAACACACACGATAAGACTTGGAGCATTCCAGCATCAGCACGTGGATGATCCATCCGCTCGCCTAAGTTTACCTTGCCGCATACCTTGCGCGCTCCCTATTGCGACACTTCACCAACGAAGAATACAGGGTCCACAGTAGGTTCGCTGCTCTCTCATCTGATGAAACTTCCGTTTCTACAAAAGTCTTTACTAACGATAGATATGTAGTCGGCACGCCACCGCCCTCATGGGGCTCCTCTCAAACCCTCTACGGTCCCGCGAACAGCGGCTGCCGCTCTACGAGAATCGACAACCACCGACCAAAGAACGTTACTCGGATGACGAATACGACTACTCAGACGACGAGTCCGACGGATCATACCGCTCGGAGTCTTCATCGCCGTATAGTAGTTCGAGAAATGTATCCGACTCGGGGCCCAGTGGGCTGTTGCTACGGCCGAAGCGAAAACTACTACAGCAGCCTCCCAAACATGGCATCTCACGACTATACCCCTACCGGCTACTGACAAAAGTAACCCGGTGGGTGCTCATCGGTGTGATTGGCACAATCATCCTCATGGTGCTCAGTCTTGTGCGTGCAAGCCAAGTTGAGAATTGGAAAGTGGCAAATGGGCAGGTGAAGACGACGACACCGCCGCCGCCGTTGTGGGAGAGTTTTCCGTTTTTGGAGAGATATTACGGTGGGATCCGGACGTTGAGGCCGTTTAACGAGAGTGAACCGTCGTATCCGGTTACGAAAGAGCCCGTGGTCTCGTCGACCTCAGGAGACGAATCTGCTGCTGTCAAGACTGCTCGGAATGTGATTGACGAGGAGCTGCCCCCTAGCTTGTCGTGGGAGACGTATCCTACTGCGAGGAAGGAGCCTGGTATTCAGGAGTGTTTCATTGATGCTGCTGGAAAAGTACGCGTGCCACCGTTGAGGTACTACAATGGCCGAACTCACGGCTTTCCTGAGCACGTGTCGGGGTCCTATGAAGTTCTTAAGCTCCCCGAGGACATTTGTTTTGAGCGGTATGGCCGATACGGTCCGTACGGCTTTGGGTATTCTCAACGGATGGGCGGCCTGAGCACCGGGGAGCACGGTGAGAATGAGGGCTTCGATGCCGTGTGGGAAAAGACGCCACGCGTGGACTACCGATCTGTGGACTGGGCTGATGTGCAGCGTCGATGCTACAATGCCAATGTTGGACGATACAAGGCTATGCCACCCATGACGCCTTCTTCTCATGGGTTTTATATCGGCCAGTCCAGCGCCGAGAGTATCTTGGCTCGTCGGTCCGAGGACATTGTTACCGTCAGAGGTTCCAACACTACTCAAGAGGCCGAGAAGCCCATGGCCACTCCTGCCTTTTCCAAGAGCACCAAGGGCGGCGTCAGTACAGGAAGCACTGCCAGAACGGCGATTGTAGTTCGATGCTGGGACTCGTATCTCTTCCGCGAAGATGACATAGCCAACGTCCGCTCCATGATTGCCGAGTTATCCATGGCATCTGGCGGCAGATACGACGTCCATCTCCTTGTCCAGGTCAAAGAGGACGGCAAACACCCCATCTGGGCCGACCACGAAGCCTACCAGAAGCGGATCAACGAGACCATTCCCAAGGAATTCCAAGGCCTCGTCACCCTCTGGACGGAAACCCAAATGCTGGCTCTCTACCAGGGCATTTACGATCTGTGGACTCGCGGACCTGATCTGCCCGTCCACGGCGTCTATAGAGGCCTCTCCATGGCCATGCAACACTTTGCCTACCTGCACCCCGAATACGACTACTTTTGGCAGTGGGAAATGGACGTCCGGTATACTGGCCATTACTACGACTTTGTCACCAAGCTCGAGGAATGGGCCAAGGCGCAACCTAGAAAAGGGCTCTGGGAACGCAACTCCCGGTTCTACTTCCCCAGCGTGCACGGCACCTGGGAGGACTTTTCACAAATGTCCCGCGTGCAGAGCGAAATGGGCACCGTCGGCGCTGACAATGTCTGGAAGAAGATGCCGGGTGAAAAGACGGCCGACACGACGGTGTCTAGGGGCTCCCGGATGGTCTGGGGACCCCTTCGACCCGTCGACGAGCAGGACTGGTTTGAGACCGAAGCCGATCCCGTCGCCCCGACCACATATGAGGCGGACAAGTACAAATGGGGCGTCGGCGAAGAAGCAGATTACATCTCGTTGAACCCCATCTTTGATCCCGAGGGCACGACATGGGTCCTCAAGGACGACATCACGGGGTATAACCGCACACAACCGCTCCCGCCGCGCCGCGCCGCCATGATCACTACGTCTCGCATGTCGCGGCGTCTGCTCATGAAGATGCACCGCATGACGGCGTTCAAGAAACAGTTTGCGTTCCCGGAGATGTGGCCCGCCACCGTCGCCCTCCAACACGGCTACAAGGCCGTTTACGCGCCGCACCCCATGTATGTCGACCGCAAGTGGCCCGTCGAGTACATGGCGCAGACGTACAATGGCGGCCGGGACGGGTCCAGCGGCGGCTCGAGAACCAGCGTCTTTGGCGAGCGCGAGCACAACCTCAAGGGGCTGAGCTGGTTCTACAACTCTGGCTTCGCGCCCAACCTGTACAAGAGATGGGTTGGGCTGAAGGTGAACAATGACGGCGGCGAGGAGTTTGAGAGGAACCTGGACGAGACCAAGGAGGGCTCGGGCGTGGGCAATATGCGTGGTGGTGAGGGGAGGATGTGCGTTCCGGCCATGTTGCTGCACCCTGTCAAGGATGTCGAGCTGCCGGTTGAGGCGCCGCCTGAGGAGGGCGATGAAGGTGTCGAGTCAGACCCGACGGCATGATTGGGGCATATCTGTTGTTTGTGTATGTGTTTTATTCTTCTGTTCTAGATGGACTTGTGTACAGGGCGCTGGGAATGGACTTTTTTTTTTGCCACGAATTGGGTAAGGTAATGCGGCCGGACCACATTGAACGATGTCATGTCGTAGAAGCATCTTGTATGTTTATACGTATGCGCGGATGTAATAAAGTCGGCCTCACTCAGGTACGACTGTTTGAGAGCTTTGGTTAACTGGGAGATTGAGAGGCGTTTCAGGGCGTGTACTTTGTAATCGTGGTCACAAAAAGAGGTTTTGTCTTCTAAGCGATACGTCGAAGATATGACGTGAACGGGCTTTTTGTGTTTTCCTCATTCATTATACGAGTAATAAAGACGCATCTATTACCGCTTAATCTTACATCATCGGCCACTCACCCTAAATCTTTGGAAATGCTCACCCTTCCCGTCATTCACGTGTTCCCAAGACCATTCCCGTTTACGCCAATATGCTGCTCGCGAAAACCAAATAACCGCGTTTTGACAACTGCCCCAAAGTTTGAAACAGTTGGAAGACCAGGCTTGCTTTTTGCCGTGGTCCAGTGCTTGTCGCTTTTTATTCTCTTGTGAATAGGATCGAATGAAACAAATTAAGAATACCGCCCCATCCCCCTTTATACGACACGCTTGACCTCGAAGAAGCGGCGCAACCACCAGACCTGGAACAGAGACTCGCCGAGGACGACTCCAATGACAAACAGGTTCCACCACTTGACACGGGCGTTGGTGCTCTCGGCGGTGTTGCGGTGGGTCCGCTCCCGCATGATAATGTATTGTTGTTCGTCCTTGACTTGGGCAAGGAGATCGGACAGTTTGCGGACTGCGGATGGCATCGTTAGCTTTGCTGTAGCCTGAATGGGATGAAAGTCAATCAAGAGACTGTCTTGTATAGTAGTACCTTCGGCTTCAATAGGGTCAGATGGCATTTCGGATTCGCTGACATAGACGACACCGTGGACGTTGAAGGAAACCTCCTTGGTGTTTGCTCCCCAGTGCTGATTGCCGAAGCAGTATGTGTATTTGCCGTCGGTGTGGGCAGTGAAGGAGTGGTCGCCGGTAGAGACACTTCTCTCGTTGACCTCGTAGCCACCGCTGGGGTTCAGCATCTGTAGGCAGTCAATATTAGAGAGATCAAGTACAAAAAATAAAAATGATGCTGATATCTCGTGATAGCAACCCCCCCCTTCTTCCACCCCCCCTTCGTATGCAATGGTTCGGATAACATTTGGGGGGGTCGGGCAAGCTCATACCCAAAAGTCGACATCGAGATTGCCAGCGCTGCCAAATTCCCGATCACCAGTCTGGAAGGTGACAGTCATCTTGTCGTCGCGATGCAGGCTCTCGTGGAAGCACTCGATGCCGTGGGCGGGCAGCACAATGTTGTGTGCGCTGACGGCCTGGAAGGCCACCGTCGCCACAGCGAACAGTGACCTCGCAGCCCAAGGCAGATGCATTTTTGATGTCGTGTGGTCGAAACGTAGAAATTGACAACTATGTCTCCTTGCCCTCGTCTGCCTGCAGGGCGTTGCAGTGATGGCGAATCGAAGCAGGCAGAATGTAATTATCGAAGCTGGGGAGCTGGTAGATGCGCGAACGTGACACCTTTTCGCCGGCGGGTTGGAATAATTGGGTGGAGGTTGCTCCTGCTGTTCAGACAGGGGTTAGCACGCACTACATTGCTGCCACGGGTGGTGGGTGAGGGATGAACAAAAAGTGGAACCTAGACCTCAGGAGCTGAGTGGCTCGTCCTTGTGGGCAAAGATTCCAGGTACCCACCGTTGGCTTGCACTGAGTTTGCTCGACTCAGGAGATCTCAGGAGAGACAAAGTCTTGTGTGTACATTAGCCTCCACGGATTATCGTTTCCCGAAGTTTACGAGGCAGGCACCATTTGCCTCAGGGCGGCAGAGACTTTTACAGTATTTACGCACAGTGGAGTGTTAGCACGAAGTGAGTATTTTTAATCATGAGCTCTGGACTCTCATGCTGCGTACCAGAAGGCTTCGCACTCGTTCAGCGTGGGGAAATAGTTCATTTCACTGTATGCCCCGTTATTTTTGCACCGTAAAGGCGTGCTAGGAGTTCGCACTTGAAGACAGGCAGAGCCGGGGTTTTGTGGCAGCGTACGGAGTAGTTGCAGTTGTCTACTTGTAGCGACCAGACAGTGTCCGACGGGAGGCCACAGCTGGCAAGTTCAGAACCTTTAGGGCTGCGCACAGCCCTGAGGAGAATTATTCAATGTTGCGGTACAAGTGTCTGGTGGGGAGTTGCGGCAGCCTCTAGCGAAACTGGCCGCCCACTTGTAGGCTAGGTAGTTACCTACTTCGAAGTAAGTCCTGGCACGTCCTCGATAGCACGAGCACAGAGCCAGATAAGCCGCATCAAAACGGACCATAAACCAGGGCAGGGCCAATTAGGACCAAGTTCCTCAGTAGATACTTGTACCTTGGGGGTCTTGGGTAATAACTTAGTATGGTGCAAGAAGATCTCGTGCTGGGGACCTTGATTTCATCAGCGTGCGTCCACTTGGACTGGACCACTTGACCCGTGCCTCTCGCCGCCGCTGGGTCTGCACCCACCAAGTGGTCTCAAAGCACCGCCGCCTCTCTCTCCCTGCCTCTTCACCGACCTGGCCAAAAATTATCCTGCCCACGAGAACTCTCCTTCTCCTTATCCACTCCTGCACGCCCACCCTTCAAAACCATCCCGCGATCCATCGACCAAGGAGTAAGTCGTCTCTGCCCGCGCCCTCGATTCTACCCGTCGTGCCCGTCATGACCCTTACCTTGTGCACCCGAGCCCAACAGGAATACTTTGGGCTCTTTCCTCACTGTAGCCGTCGCCGTCGCCTTGCACGACATCTTCGTCGCTGTGAAGACCCTCGTCGAGGCTCAAGTCACTCACTCAGTTCAAGTCGGTGCCGCACAGTGTGTGAACCCACCCACTTGACCACTCGTTGAAATGCGGCAGCCTATCCCTGGACATGTGTCCTCTGTCCGCGCTCGAGTATATCAAGTCGCACCCCCAAGACTCACTTGCTGACTTGCCGACGAGCCACAAGTCGGTCAATTTCCACTTGGTCCTGCATCGACCTTGTTCTCGTCATTGCATCATTTTCTGCCTGCCTCCATCCTCCTGCCCGCCGACCTTCAGCCCACTACGAAGAAAAAAACCCCTCCTGGCTGGCTGGCTTACTTACGCGTGGCAATTAGGACACATAGATATCTCTCGCTCGATCGCTCGGTAGATCTCTTTTGCTCTTCTTCCTACACCCACAACCGCCACCGCTACAAATTATACGACTAGCCGCCCTCATCGCCCCAAGTCGCAATCATGGGTCTCACCTTTTCTAAGCTTTTCGACAAGTTGTGGGGGAAGAAGGAGATGAGAATTCTGATGGTTGGTCTCGATGCCGCCGGTAAAACCACCATTCTGTACAAGCTTAAGCTTGGCGAAATCGTCACCACCATTCCTACCATTGGTAAGGTTTCCCCAACCACTCTTGGGCCCGTCTTGCCAATTACTCTCCTCCGCTGCTCTTGCCTTCTCGCATCCCGAAGAGCACCTCTCCATACTGTCATGCTAACTCCCCCCCTTTTTTCAGGTTTCAACGTCGAGACTGTCGAGTACAAGAACATCCAGTTTACCGTGTGGGACGTCGGTGGTCAGGACAAGATCCGTCCTCTATGGAGACATTACTTCCAGAACACTCAGGGTATCATCTTCGTCGTCGACAGCAACGATCGTGACCGTGTTGTCGAGGCCCGTGAGGAACTCCAGCGCATGCTCAACGAGGATGAGCTGCGAGAGGCCATCCTGTTGGTCTTTGCCAACAAGCAAGATCTTCCTGTAAGCTATCCTTATCCTCCTCTAATGCGTTGCTTGCGTCGCATGACAGTTTAGCTAACCAACTCGCCTTAGAACGCCATGAATGCTGCCGAGATCACTGACAAGCTCGGCCTCCACAGCCTGCGGCAACGCGCCTGGGTACGTCCACAAAGCAATCTCAAGCTCGTAAACAGGTCACTAATCTTGGCGTCCAACAGTACATCCAGTCCACTTGTGCCACGTCTGGTGACGGTCTGTACGAGGGTCTTGAGTGGCTCGCCACCACCCTCCGTAAGGCCGGCCACCAGTAGACATCACCTGCGAGAAGCCTTTGATCAACTCCCGCCTTCTCATTCGTACCCCCTCAAATCACGTACTCTCTGCAATACCGGACTTCGTTATAGTGAGGTTTCGGCTGTAATTTGAAAAGCTATCGATCAACCAATCGAATCAAAATTTAGTCTTTTATTCATCCTTCGTCCCTGTCCGACTTTGACCATTGTCTCTCTTTTAGGTGTTGTCGTGAGGCACATATACATGTTGGGCCTTCCAAATGCGGCTCTTTGAAAAGGCTTGTGCTACAATGGCCATGGATGTTTGGTTGAATACATCCTGCATGAACCATTAGGACAGGAGTAAACAGACGGGCTTACTGAGTCATACTGTTACCTGGATCAAGGTTCTTGGCAGCATATACGACGAATATTGACGGCTTTGGATGTACTGCATGGTTAGATGGAAATCGGCATGGAAGGAGGGCATTTGTGCAAGGCAAAGACCGTGGTTTACGCTGTTATACTTTAGTCCTGGTTTGACTTACTCTTTGTTTCCAGTCGTCTTGTCTCTTCATTGCGCTAGATTAGCGGCGTTGGGTTCGTTGCACAGGCCTCCCGGCTGGGAAAGGATTCGTAGCGGAATGACAGAAGGATGAATTGGGCGATGAACGGAGAGAGGGAGTTTTTTCTAAGAAAAATTGGTTCTCGATGTTCTTTTAAGCTTGTGGCTCATTTTTGTTCTGTGGGAATTGGTCTGTCTTCTATGGCTCTGGTGTGTTTTGACTCTCCGCTTCCTGGCATGGGTTCGTTTTCGGCGGGATGGTTGGAGGTTATGGCAGACAGAGGATGAGTGAGAACAGAGCGACTGGTAGATATATTGGAGAATGGAAAGTGTTTCATGTTTAAAGTATGGTGCTCATCATTTCCAGGGAAGTGCTTATTTCATAAATCAGATTTAGTGTGTGTGTTTGTGCTTGGTATGAAACACGTGGATATCATCTGAGAGGAGTAAATACAAGTAGCACGTGCTATAGACAACTCTCCAAATCAGTATTCTAAAATACAGAATCCGAGACTCCATGCTCCCAGTGAAATGGACTTATATTACATTATATTACATTATACTGCAGTCTCAGAAGCATTAACCACTTCCAAGCCCGTGTCATCCTGCTTAATCTTGACCTCAGCAGCTTGCCCCATCTTCAACTGCCCACGAATAATCTTATCAGCGAGCCCGTTGCCAATCTCGTTCGTGATGAGCCTGTTCAATGGCCTCGCACCAAACTTGGGATCGTATCCGCGCTCGGCGAGCCAGTCCTTGACTGTATCCGGAACAGTGAGCTTGATTCGCTTGTCATCCAGACGCTGCTGTAGCTCCTTGAGACGAATGTCGACAATATCCCTTATGGCAGATTTCGCAAGGCGTTTGAAGATGATGAAGGAGTCGATGCGGTTGAGGAATTCAGGCGGGTATGCCTGTGCTACGACGTCCATGACGGCTTTACGAACGGCGGGGTCTATTTCCCCGTCGGGACTTTCCTTGTACGGGTGGAGTTGGTTCTGCCCGACGAGGATGTCGGCCCCAAGATTGGACGTCAGCACAATGATTGTGTTTTTGAAATCAACCTTGTGGCCCTGCGCGTCGGTAAGGTACCCCTCGTCGAGGACCTGGAGCAGCAGCGCGGATATGTCGCGGTGCGCTTTTTCGAATTCGTCAAATAGTAGTACGGCGTAGGGCTTGCGACGCACAGCCTCGGTGAGCTGGCCGGCGTCTTCGTAGCCCACGTAGCCAGAGGGGGCGCCGATGAGACGCGATATGGTGTGTTTTTCTTGGAACTCGGACATGTCGAAGCGGACGACTGCGGATTCCGTGGAGAACAGGAAGCCGGCGAGCTTCTTGCACAATTCTGTCTTGCCGACACCCGTGGGGCCGAGGAAGAAGAAGGATGCAAGAGGCTTGTTCTCGCCGCTGAGGCCAGCGCGTTGGAGGCGGACTGCGTCGGAGACGGCCTTGATGGCGTCATCTTGGCCCTTGACGGCTTCGCGCAGCGTGTCTTCCATGTGTACTAGCTTCTCGATGTGGCCAGAAGTGAGCTTTGATACGGGGATGCCGGTGATTCGGGAGACGACGTTGGCGATGTCGTCTGAGGTGACAGAGTCGTGGATCAGTGCATCCTCAGATTTCGATTGCTGGCTCTTCTCTTCCGAGGGGAGTTTCTGTTCGAGAGTTGGAATGACGCCAAACCGGAGCTCAGAGGCGCGAGCAAAGTTGCCCTCACGCTGTGCTTGTTCCAGATCAAACCTGGCCTTGTCGAGCTCTTCCTGGACCACTTTGACGGATTCGATCTCGCTGCGTTCCTTTTCCCAACGAGCGTTGAGTTGAGCAATTTCATCTTGGTACCCTTTCAGATCTTTTTCGAGCTTCTCTCTACGTTCCTGGCTCGCAACGTCCTTTTCTTTGCGTAAACTTTCGAGCTCAATCTGAATGGTCATAATCTTGTGGTCAAGTCGCATGATATCTTCGGGCTTCGATTCATGCTGCAGTTTCAAGTGACTGGCTGCTTCGTCCATTAAATCAATTGCTTTGTCCGGCAGGAAACGATCCGTGACGTATCGATTGGATAAGGTTGCAGCCGCTACTAGAGCCCCATCGGTGATGCGGACACCGTGGTGTACTTCATATTTGTCCTTAATACCACGGAGGATGCTGATAGTATCCTCAACCGAGGGTTCGCTGACAATGATGGGCTGAAACCTGCGAGCCAGAGCTACGTCCTTTTCAATCTGTCGATATTCGTTGAGCGTTGTGGCGCCGCAGCACTGCAACTCGCCTCGAGCCAAGGCAGGCTTTAACAAGTTGGAGGCGTCGATTGAGCCTTCAGCTTTGCCCAGGCCCAGCAAAGTATGTAGCTCGTCAATGAAAAGAATAACCTGTCCTTCTGCTTTTTGAACTTCGTCAAGGACCTTTTTCAATCGCTCTTCAAAGTCGCCTCTGAATTTGGCACCGGCTATCAGGGAGCCCAGATCCAAGCTGATGACTCGCTTGTTCTTTATACTTTCTGGCACGTCGCCCCGAATGATCCGAAGCGCAAGACCTTCCAGAATAGCAGTCTTCCCTGTACCGGCATTTCCAATCAAGACAGGATTGTTCTTGGTTCGTCGGGACAAAATTTGAATCGTTCGTTGGATCTCGGCATCTCGTCCAATGACTGGGTCAAGTTTGCCGTCTTTGGCTCGAGCCGTGAGATCGATGCCAAACTGTTCCAGAGCCGGTTTTTCCTCTTCACCGCCCATATTCATACGATGCGTTCCTCCGGGGGGGTGAGGCCGTCCGTTTGCGTAGCATCGTGTAGCAGTTGTTGGGAGAAACCGAAGGGGTGTTGTGCAAGCTCTCCGAGCTGCCGCCAGTCGCAAGGCTGGTCGTGAAGATCGAGCCGTGGCACCAACTACTCGCTGGGCCGAAGCTATTAACTGGCGTCTGGCTTGCATAGTAAATGCAAGCATAACGTTACTACTGTCCTACTAGTACAGTCCCAGTGGACATTAGTGTGTTGAATGAAGGTGCAAGTGTGGCATACATTCAACCCAGAGCTTAGACTCGGAATATATACCTGGAAACCTTGGGCCCCAGAGATCCCTCCCCCGGTTCTGAGAACTTCACGGCGACACCACCAGCTTCTCGTATGTTCCGGCTCTGAACTGCTAATAACTGGGGGCACCCAGCAAGACCCGCAACGGTGCCGTCACCGTCTATCTTATCATCACGTGCTGCCAGCCCCATGTCCCACAAGTTGGGCGGCCAAAGTTGGGCAAGGACGACAGCCGTAAGCGGTTAGCGCCTGAGGGTTCACATTTTGCCTCCCACAAACTCGCTAGCGGCGTTCACAAAGAATTCCAACATTTTGGGCGAGCATCATCAAACGTGTCTTCCTTTCCTCTCCACAGCCCAACAAGACACAACCCGAGAGTCACCATGTCGGCGAAGCCCACGACCAAGAAGTTCGGGAAGTCGACCCGGGAGGTTCCCGCTCCCTCGGCCAAGGCCCAGAAGTGGTATCCTGCCGATGATGAGAACGAGGCCAAGCAGGTGAGTTTCATGGTGATGATGATGATACTGGTGATGTGATGCGACAAGACAAATTTCATGGTGGTCTCTACCCGGAAAAGCACAAAGTATGGAACGATGGACAAGCGCGCGATGGCGACAACGGCAACTCGAGCATATGACAATGGCAACATACTGTCGGTGACCAACAAACAACCTGCTTCGTGTTTACAATTCGGGATGACTACGCAAGCAAAGTAATGAGATGATTTCAAGGATATCCAAGTGCAATCCCCAATCGCACAGAGAATGCAACTATCGATATTGTGCAATTGGACAACCACCCAGTGCAAAGGGCTACCATCAGAGTTTATATGCGCACACGCAACTCAATATCATAATAGGAGATAGCTAACCAAGCGTGTCAAATTCTCCAGGTCCGCAAGGCAGTCCGTTCTTGGGCCCCCCGCAAGTCCCTCCAGCCTGGTACCGTTTTGATCCTCCTCGCCGGTCGCTTCCGTGGCAAGCGCGTCATCCTTCTGAAGGCCCTCGACCAGGGTGTCCTTCTTGTCACTGGCCCCTTCAAGATCAACGGTGTTCCTCTGCGACGAGTCAACTCCCGATACGTCATCGCCACCTCCCAGAAAGTCGATGTCTCCGGCCTTGACGCCAAGAAGGTCGAGGAGATTGCTCAGCCCAAGTACTTTACTGCCGAGAAGGCCAAGGAGAAGGCTAGTGAGGAGGCTTTCTTTAAGCAGGGAGAGAAGGCTCAGGTATGTTGTTTTCGAAAAGCCTCAAATCCGAATATTCTCTACAAGAGACACGATTCGGTTTAGAGGTGACTGTTGGAGCAACGACACAGGAAACTAATGTAATCTCTGCAGAAGAAGCAGATCAACAGCAGCCGTGCTGCCGACCAGAAGGCCATCGACAAGCCCCTGATCGCCAACATCAAGAAGGTCGACATGCTCGCCAGCTACCTCGCAAGCTC